TGTGTATTGACTAGGTAAAGAAAGCGGCATGGCATATGGTATTTTCATTCTTCCTAAAGTCGTGGCATCAATATTTGCAGGGTTTTTCTTCCTTTTTTTTTTTTTTTCTGTCTCCGGAATGGAAATGAGATGGTGTTCTATACATAATGATAAAGGCTCCGATTGCATTTATTACTACGATGACGTTTTCATACGTGAAGTGTTTTTTATGTGACATTGATGATGTCGATGTTGATGGCGGGGAAGTAAAATGGAATATCCCACGCGACAGCCAAATATCATAGTCCAATATTATAATTAATATTACGGAATACTAGGTATCGAGTGATGAGGTATAATTGTTGGGTATCTATTCCGTACTTCGTTTGGCTATTAAGGCCTTGAACAACCCTCCTTTTTTTGATTTGGTTAGTTGAAGAAAGACGGGATTCCAGAATAGGGAATGGTCAAGTCTATCAATCGAGCCTTGTTCGTACCCGAGGAGATAAAGTAGTGCGACAGATGCTACATATACGGAATACTATAGTAGGTAGTATGTACGGCTGTTACGCAAACTTGGCAGCTTGGCAACTGCAAAGATACCCTGAGTGCATAAGAAAGTGCATACTAAAGGTGTATAATTGAAGTTAATGTCTCAACTTTAAAAGAAGAGAAGTTGCCACCAACTTATTAATAATAATAATAATAATAAACAGAACGTGATTGTTTTCTTGCAAGTCCTGATCTTCCTTCAATCCCACCACCACGTTTCCTACTCTTTAATTCTTTATAAGATATAAAAAATAAAACATAAAAATAAAACATAAAAAATAAATAATTTGCATATACGCATTTCCCCAGTTTCACCCCCACAGTCATCAAAAGTTGCCCGGGACACCTCGGAATGATTTTGTAGAGACGATCCCCCTCTCCTCGGATGTCAAGGATTTGGACTAGTCCCTTGGCTCTCGACTCGAGATCGACATAAACCACACCGCTTAGGCACCGAATGGCAAAATAGAGGCTGACCGGTTCATGCCGAGCTAAGGCCAAGCAAAGACTAGCGATGTCTTCGGGGCCTGTAATTTATTCGCTTGACCCGGCCGTTTGCAACAAATGCGGCTATTTATCTCCCGCCGTCCGACTTCAAACCCGCTTTGCCGCCACCGTCGCCGCCGCCATGCCTTACCTTGGCTACGTTTGGCAGGCAAGCGGTAATTGTTATCGCGCCCGTGTTTCAACGGCCCATGACGGCTCACGATACCATGTAACCATAAGGGGACGTCCTAATCGTACCAATGTCAGAAATGTCAGAATGACTCGAGATGTGGGCCAGTCCTGTGGGTATCAATGACGAAATGCGGATGAAGATCTTCAGGTCTGCCCCCATAATAAAAGGCACAAATTTTGCCATCTGCTACAAATCACAGCCTAGCCTGACCGGTCACATTTCACTTCTCACGCGTTCCCCACGTAATGCCATGCATTGCGTCCGCCCGCGCTGTCCGTTGTTGCTGAGTTGCTGAGTTGCTGATTGTTGGTGCTGCAAACTTCTCGTGGAGTGGACACCAATCTAAGGGTCTTTTCAGACGTTATGATGACATTTCCTCGGCCCTTGCTCGGTGGCACCCACCCACGAACTCAACCTCCACTGCCTCCCAGCAGGTTGCTGCGATAGAGGCGTGAGGACCCTTTTTTTCTCTTGATACGGACCCTTTTTTCTTGTGATCATCTGGATATACCTGGTTATACCTGGTTATACTGGGATATACTGGGATATACGTATGCGAGGTAAGAGTCGTGTAAAGCAGATCGTGTAGCTCAACATAAAACATATAAGATAACCGGTGGACCATGTTCTCCTTATCCCCCAACAGCCTAGAACTCGTTCTATTTCCCTATCCTCCAGCTTTTCCCCCTTCTCCTCATTCTTACCCCTTCTCACTCCAGGTTCCCCTGATCTTGTAATCTAGATTTTCCCCCTGGAAGAGTCCTACGTAGATAGTTACGGTAGTCTACGGTAGTCTACGGCAATGGGGCACAAGGACAACGCCGATGGCGCGCCCACATACTGGGGCAAGTCTGGCAAGACATTGCAAAGAATGATCACAGCCGTAGCGACGACGGATTTCTTGTTGTTCGGTTACGACCAGGGCGTCATGTCCGGTATCATCTCGGCTCCCGCCTTCACCTCTGACTTCCCGGAGGTGTATGGGGACAGCACGTACGAGGGTTTCGTCGTGTCCATTTACGCTGTCGGCTGCTTTTTGGGTGCCTGTTTCATTCTCTCGTTCGGTGACCACCTCGGCCGTCGCAATTCTATCTTCACCGGAGCCACTATCATGATTATTGGTGTCATCATTCAAATCACTGCCATGCCTAACGGATTAGGAGGAGGCGCGACAGCACAGTTCATAATCGGGCGATGTATCACGGGTATAGGCAACGGTATCAATACATCGACAGTGCCAACCTATCAAGCAGAGTAAGTCATTACTTAATTCTTATATCCTTATATCCTTATACCCTTATTGAAGCGCATAGGACCTAGTTCCCGCTAACCTCTGTCTCTTCGCGTTTTTAGATGTAGTCATTCGCACAACCGTGGAAAGCTCATCTGCATTGAAGGCGGCAACGTTGCGATCGGAACCTTGATTGCTTACTGGATCGACTATGGGTGCACCTATGGGCCTCACGCCTTCGTTTGGCGCTTCCCCATCGCTTTCCAGTGTGTCTTTGCTTTGGTCGTAATTGTTCTTATGACCCAGCTACCGGAATCGCCCAGATGGCTATTGACGAAGGATCGAAACGAAGAAGCAACCACGGTTCTAGCAGCTCTCCACGGTGAGCGCCGGGACGACCCTGCTGTCCAGACACAGGTTGCCGTCATCGTCGACGCTATTCGTGCTTCTGGCCATGGTGGCGGCGTTACTGCTATGTCAGATCTTGTCACTGGTGGCCCAACCCAGCACTTCCGCCGTCTCCTTCTCGGTGCCTCTTCGCAGATGATGCAGCAGCTGTCCGGTTGCAACGCAGTCATCTACTACTTCCCCATCCTGTTCCAGACCTCGATCGGCACTTCGCACAACCTAGCCCTGCTTCTCGGAGGTATCAACATGGTCGTCTATTCCATCTTTGCCACTACCTCGTGGTTCGCCGTCGAACGGATCGGTCGCCGAAAGCTCTACCTTATCGGTACCGTTGGCCAGTGCTTGTCCATGGTTCTCACTTTTGGTGCTCTGATTCCTGGAACGGAAGAAGCGGCTAAGGGAGCTGCTGTTGGTCTTTTCGTAAGTTTGAACTATCTTGCCCACTAATGCCGTTTTGGTTATAGATAAATAGATAACTAACGCTTTAAAATAGACTTATATCGCATTCTTTGGTGCTACATGGCTTCCGCTACCGTGGCTGTACCCGGCCGAGATTAACCCGCTTAAGACGCGTGCTAAGGCCAACGCAACTTCGACTGTGTCCAACTGGCTGTGGAACTTCTTCATCGTGATGATCACGCCGGTACTACTAAGCAACACAGGGAAGAGCGGTTGGGGTACCTACCTATTCTTCGCGATACTCAACGCTATCTTTTTCCCTATCATCTACTTCTTATACCCGGAGACAGCTGGGCGTACCCTCGAGGAGATCGACGTTATCTTCGCTAAGGGTTACGCAGAGAAGATGAGTTATGTTAAGGCTGCGCAAGAGCTGCCCCGTCTTACGGAGCAAGAAGTCGCGCAGAAGGCCCGCGAGTACGGGTACTGTTTATCCGACGAGGAGGCCACCGTCAGCATGCACGAGAAGGCCGAAGGTGTCTTGTCGACGCCGCCTTCTGATTAATGCTGTCATGTGGCGATGTAGCGCAATAATTCACGATTGGATGATCGTGCAACGGATCGCGATGACATGTTTTCCTATTTCAACAATGCTCGCCTTTGATTAAGGTCATGACAGTTATGATGTTTGGTTGTGGTGTTCAATATTGACGCCCGACACTGCTACATTCGGTACAATTATGACGAGTCGGTTCATAAACCGAGGCCATGCGTGTTATATACTATAGGTTGGAACAATGGAAGTACCATTAGCGATACCATATGATCAGGAAGTCCACGATGGGCTTCTTTTCATGTCTGAATTTTTTTCGGTCTTTATGAGGATACTAATCGTTTTCTCTGTTCCTTGTCTTTTTTTCTCTTTTATATTCCCATGGGGTCGTCGAGATATACCCTCGGGTCAGACATGACCCGAAACTGGATGTTGAATAGACTGGTTAGAATCAGTTTATAGATCTATTAGATTAGATCATTGTATCTAGCTGCGTTAGAGATGTGGCGAAGTAAGGATGGGCGAGGTCCCTCATAGGCAGACATTCCATAGACAGGCATTCTATAGACTATGAATACCAATTGGAATCGCAAAAAAAAGCTAGTCTGCCCTGATTAAGCATCTTCTTGGTGACTGTGTTGTCGACGAGCTGAAATAGATGAATGGTCACAGGTAAGAAATCTCGGGGATTGTAGCCAGGTTCGTAAGTCGATGTAATGCGGCGTAGCATAACGGCACTGATTCGCTGGTTATGACCTTTTTCACATTTCGCTCAACCTATCAGCTCTTCGGCGATTGAAGATGGGTGAGATGGTAGAATGGGTGAGATGGTCTTATGGCGACTTCATATGTGTGTGCTACTGTACATAGTATGAGGTATGTAAGATGACGGGTTACCAACGCGATATGGGAGGCCTATTTACGCGATATGCGTCCTCCCTGGCGATGATGGCCTCGTGGGCGATGTAATAAATAAGCTTGTTTTTAACCTCGCTTGAGGCTCACCCTTCGCTGCTGATTGTTGCCTTTTTTCTGCTTGGTTTGTGTTGAGATCGCCGTGCTGGTTAGTTGGCGATCCCCCTCGTGTGTGTACAGGATAGGACAGGACAGGATAGGATAGGATATACGTGGTTACGCCGATTTGAGTAGAGTTAGTTGTACGTACGACACGGCATATCGAACACACATCGCTACCATCCATGGCTACTTTAATGGGCGGTGGTGCCTGGCTGCGGCTCATCACATTGCCGCTTGTGCTGGAGCTACTGCTATTGTTGTTATTGCTATTTGCGAATGCGGTCGAAGCGAAGAAGACTACTATTACCCCGGCGCCGTCGCGTCTAACTGCCGTGCCTGTATGGGCTGCCGGACGTCTCTGGGGAGGATTGGTCTCGGTGGCGGGGGAGTATTGTTTCTGGTGTATGTTATTGTCTCTTGGTCTCGTTTACTTACCCCTAACTTGCTTGCTTGTTTGCTTGCTTGTTCCAACGCGCTACCTGAGTTCCTCGTGTTTATTGGAAACGAAAAGGGGGGTGGGTGGATGGAGGAGAGAGAGAGAGAAGGGGGGGGGGCAGTGACTAATAAACCAACGTATAGAACGACGTCGAAACCGTGTACACAATATTCTGCCCGGCGGAGCGCCCCGGCTGCATCGTCGCCTCCAGCAACGATATGCCGGTTACATTTACGGAGGGGCCAGGAACGCTGCGTACGGCTTACACGATATCCGGGACGCTGTAAGTTTATTCCATTGATTTCCCTCCCATCCCCCCTCCCCCTTTTTTCCCATCTTCCCTCTCCCATCCAAGCCAACTAAACCACCGCCACCACCCCAGCTCCATAACCGAAGCCTGCATCCTAGCCTCCCACCACAGCCGCCACCTGCAAGCGGGAGCACCCGGGTCGCGCAGCCTCTCGGCCCGATGTCGAATACCACGGTAGCGCCGTACAACGCTGTCCGGCGCGGACGTGAGCTGGGGCGTGCTGACGCTGGGCGATGCGCCGCTTACGACTGACTACCTCGGTGGGCCTCGGTGGGGACGCACGTATACTTATTATACTACGTCCACCACCACCACCACCACCACCATCGGTGCAGCAGATAGTAGTGTGAGCACCACTATATCCTCGGAAAGTAATACACCTACTGCGGCTACGACTGGTACTAGGACTGGGGATGGGAATGCGGGAGGAGCAGGAGGAGGAGGAGGTAATGCGGCGGCGACGGGGAAGGGTAGGCCGAAGAAGTCGGGTGCGAGGATGGGCGTAGGAGTGGAAGGGGTGTGGAAAGGGGGAGTGGTGTTGATGGGTTTAGTGGCTGTTTTGTTATGGTGAGGTGATGTGATGTGACAAAGTGATATACGTATATGAATGTGTAAATGAATTAATGGAATGGGTCTTGCTTGTTATGAATATTTCAACTAATCATCATAGAATAAATAATGCGAATGATACTTACCTTATTTGAGATTCCGTGCTGGACTTATTATATATATAGTGTGTAGACAGAAATCTATATACAAGCTAAGAGCCATATGGAGAAGAGAGTAAGGATATAATATGTAAGTAACAGTGATGAACATAACCTACATACGGTACCCTAGGTATCACACACGAAGTAAACAGGATAACGTTTCCGTGTCAAATTACCAACTGCCTGTAGATTAGCTGCATATCAGCCCACTCATATAATTCCATAAATCTAATAAGCCCTCCCAAATAGCAATAAAAAATACGACTTTGAATTGGTCTACAGAGAATAGAATGCTGCGCAAATCGTACACACCCACCTCCTTTTCCCTTTGGCCACACGGATCCTACCGACTCAGCCAACCTTTCTCATCCATGCGTACGTATATGCCTAACCTAACTCATTAATTCATAATTAACACGCCCGTCTAAGCCACGAGACCATCCTCCTCGTCGCAAGGCGAATACTGTCCTCCCATTCCCCAGTACTGCTCGGCCATGAACGTCGCCGCCTCGGCCTTCTTCCACATGTCGTTGAACGCAGTGAAGAGAATAAGGTTGCTAGCATTAGAAGCGTAAGCCTTCTTGATGGACGAGAGCGCCGTCGACTGCTGATCCATGCCAGGAACAGCCTCGCCGTTCGCTTCTCCCTGCCAAGGCCAACCCGTCTCCGTCACCACGATACGTTTGCTCGAATCGGACAGCTTACTACGAATGTTACTAATGGTGGAAGTAACAAACGAGCCTGCTCCGTCGGGACCCGTGTTGGGGTCGAAGAAGGGGTGGACGTTGACGGCGCAGTAGTCAGACTCGTCGCAGAGCTCGGGATGGGCGAGAATAGCGACGAACGTATCCACAATGACGACAGGTCCTTCGTACCCAGCGCTTCTCAATAGGGAACGCGTTTGGCTCAATGCGCTGATAGACTGGTCCACAGTTGCGCCACCATCGTTGACTAGTTCGTTACCTACCGAGACGGTGTCGACGATATCCCAGTCGTTCTGAACGCCGGTAGCCATGGTAGATACGCCATCTTCGATTGAGTTGATGTCGAAAATGCCTAAGAATAACTTATTTCCATACTTCTTGGCAGCTGCATATGCTGTTGCCACCTGATCGCAATCAACGCCGTACAAGCGAATGACACCATAGTCCTTAGCTATCAGCGCAAAGTCCGCATCAACCTCATCCGCCGTCTTGCATTCTCCGTTACCTTTGTAAGGAGAGTAAGCAACGCCGTGAAGAGCGCCGCTGCTTGAAGATGGAGAAGCTGCTGAAGAGGACGCCGATTTTGAACTGGTCGGGTACGAATCGGCGGATGAAACATGTTGAGAAGACGAAGTCTGCTGGGTAGTAGGAGAGGCTGCTTGGTACGAAGACGGTTCAGATTCTACCACTGGCGCAGCCTTAGTCGACAGAGGAGAAATCTCGGTCGTCGGCGTCGTAGGAGTTGATGCTTCATACATCTCTACCGACGCGGGAACATAAACAACCGTCTCGGTGGTAGTGCGGATTGGGTTGTTATTCTGATCTACATAGACCACGACTTCAGGGACTTCGGTAGTCGTACTGTATTTGGAATCAGTAACCGTGATTTTCTCCCTCTTCGCAATAGGGGCTCTGTTTGCCCTATGTCGGTGGAGATGTTGATGTTGATGTCCTGATAAACACGTGAGCTCTTGTCCCTGAAGGGAGATAGTAGATTATAGCTGTGACTTACTCGGCTGCCCAGCCGACAGGCCGAGGAGGGAAAGAAGACTAAGAGAAAGTAGGGTAGATCTCATGATGTCGATATGTTAACACGATGCTGGGTATTTCTAGAATGAGCGTAATCGCGAAATTGCGGGAAAAAAAACAAATAATGAGCGGCCTATGTTGTTAGCGAGGCAACGATTTACTTGAAGGAGCGACGATAATAGAGACAAAAGGGGACATGAATGCGGCAGATGACACTCAGTCGGTGTCTATTAGTTACAAGGACTGCGAGGGAAACAAAAGCAGACAAAGGAGTGTAGTGAGAGCTTGTGCTGGCAGGTAAAGAGAACAATTAAGGGACTAGGTATATTGAGGTTCTAGATTCGAGGAACGAGGTGCCCGTCCAAGAAAATAATATCAACATAATTGATCCTATGTGATGTGGCGGAAGTTGCCCCGGCATCGAAGAATCGAACAAGGAAAGGGGGTAAACAAGATGTGGTGAAGGAATGATGGCGTTTTGTAAAGGGGGTGGATCATTGTTGAATACAATAACAAGGGAGAAAGAAAGCCCTTACTATCTTTTATTCCCGAGTTTAGACAGAGCTCATTATCGATGTTGCCTTACTTCCGAAATATGAATACGATAGACAGGTCAATAGGTCAATAGGTCAATAGGTAAGAAGGAGTGATTCGCAGTTTGACCAGCTAATATCGCATATCCTGATTCTGATTTATCGATAACCTCAAAGGAAGGTGATTGTAAAAGAGTGTATTTTAGGTACCTAGGGTATCGTAAGGAATGATGGCGGTCGTAAACGAATTATATGAGATCTGGCAGTGTTAGTTTAGGTAGTGTTATGTAAAAGTCTCCAGGGCAACGATATCGTGGACCAAGTTTTCTTCTTCTTTCAATCTAGAAACGTCATCACAACGCGCGGCAAGAACGCTAGAGAAATGAGACCCACGCTTCCCTTCGGTCGAGAACCACATGCATGATATAGACGTCAATGTTTCACATTTTCATCTAATAGTTCGTTTGGAAGGCACAAGGCACGATCATTGGTACGGTACCTAGGAGGTAGGTATAAAAGGACAAAGACATCCCCCCCCCATCGACTATTCAGCCCCCGGCCCCTTTCCCCTTTCCGATAGGATAAAAATAGATAGTCCATCACAACGCCACAGTGGGACGTAACAACACTCGTATGGTAGAATTAGTAATTAGTATATGGTTCTAGTGTATGGTCTGATCCATCTGATCCCGGCAGTTTGCCTTTCCATCCTGAATATACATTCGTAGGCCCTTCAATTATTAATCGAAACGGATTCGAGCGCTTATCCATCTCAACCCAAGGTCATGCCCAGGTCGTAGTATAATAGCCATTACGCCTATAACTACCTCATCTCGCGTCATATCGTGAAGCAACGTGAAGCAGTCGTGAATAAGATCACGAGAAACTGAATGTCTCCTAAGCAGCTAGTGACGACACCTGCCGGCTGGGTTTCCGGGTCATAATCTTAGTAATAGCGTGTCGAATCGTCGTTCCAGCCTTTTCGATTTCCTTCTTAGACAAGCCCGATGTGATACAAACCTTCAAGGCGGGCTTAATATCTATGTCGTTGGTACCGATACTGCCAATCAGCGGGAAGCTCTTCAGTCGCGTAATTAGTACACCGTTGGCGAGTGCCTGTATATTCCTGTAAGTGGATAAACTTCGCTTGTGGTGTTCCTGGAAAACTTACCTCATCCGTAATCTCAAGGAACAGCCGCTCTTGATCTTCGTTACTCAGTCGTCTCGATGAGACGACCTCGGGCTTGAACACTAGCAGCATGATCGGGTTCTCGGGGTCGCTTGTGCATCGGACCCATTCGCTACGGGGATCGAGTTGTGCCTTCATAGCCTGAATGTTGTCTCGGCATGCCTGTAGGATATCGGGGTTGCATTGTAGGACATTCAACGTCTCACTAGCCGTGACAGCAGCCATAGCAGGTAGAGCAGCCGAATAAGTGTACGATGCGGCATTGATACGCTGGTGTCGTACCACGTCCTTTGAACCAGCGCAGAATCCGCCAGCAGCACAGAGAGGTCCAGCCATAGAGCCAATAATCATATCAACAGCCTCCGAGTCGACGTTCTGCGCCTCGGTAAGTCCTCGTCCGTTACGGCCAAGTACGCCAAACGACCAAGTCTCGTCTAGAGCGATGCGGAACTTATATTTCTCCTTCAATTCAACCTAAAATGTCCAAAAATTGTCAGCACGCTATAGGACAGAATTAAGTTGGCATCGGAAAGGGTTGGCTTACGAGCTTAGGAAGGTTAGAACAATCGCCAACCATCTCGAAAAGTCCCTCGGTAACAATAAATCGCCTAGTCAAGATCTTCTTCTTTGCTTGCTCTTCGGCCACTTTCTTCATAACCTGTTCCAAGTCTTCCATATCGTTATGCTCGTACCATCTAATGTTGCTTCGGGAAGCCTCTAGTCCTTTGCGAATCGAGTAGTTGACCATCCTATCAGCTACGATGACATCACCTCGCTTGCAGAAGGTCGGAATAACACTGGAGATGGTAGAGAAAGCGTGAGAGTAGATAATACAGCTCTGGGTACCGAGGAACATGGCGATATCGTGCTCAGTTTGCATGTGGACATCCTGGTTGCCGTAAAACTGTGGGGGACCGCAAGGGCCAACTCCGTAGGTGCGCAGTGTCTGGATCGCCTTCTCTTTAATCGGCTCGCTCGCGTTGAAGTTGTAGAAGTTGTAAGAGGCCAAGTTTACGACAGTCTTTCCGCTGGACAGCTTCACCTTCGGACCCGTCGGTCTATGTTGATACTGTTAGTAATGACCTTTGACAGACCAAGGGACCAATTCTTACCCAACAATGACAGGTAGCCTCTCAGCTTCTGCTTCCTCAAGTTGCGTCTGAGGAGCGACGAGCGGTTCGGGCTCCCAATCTCTAACGAGCTCATCGATCTCGTCATCGCGGAGCTTCACGTAGTTGGGATCGTGGGTAGGATAAGAGGGCGACAGAAGGTATCGAACGAAGAATATTACGAGCACAAGTTCTATCGCAGATCGAACGGGATCATTCTGGTAGCTTGACTGGATGTATCGAACCAAAACGGCACTTCCAGGGACTTTTTGGAAGGCGTAGGATATTTCGTGAAGCGAAGCCTGCAAGTAGACTTGCGCCTCGTGCAAGTCCATTTTTAGCAATTTAGTATGGTGACGACTATTGAAGGGAATTCATTGAAGAGTTTAATATTTTAGAGTTAACAACAGTTTGGCGTTGAATTTGTAGGTGAGTATTTCAAGAATTCGGGGCGTGAGACGGGGATAATATTATCATAGGGGAAAGGTCGGTAACGATCTCAAATTGGAAAAGGGTCCAACTGTTGTTTCTCAATCACAATTAGGTACCTAAGGTACCTTAATCCTCCTCAAACACGCTTCCGCGAATCCGGCACTACATAGGGACACGGATCCGTAGCGGCGCGTCCAATTGAGGCCGCCTATTGGAAGCGGAAGCCCCACCTGCCATTAAGGCTCGCATTAAAGTACCTAGGTACCTAATTTGTTACCCCCTTCATGTTTTAGTTGCATGCATGTAACTAACGGGTACATGTACCTTTTAAGCACTTCTTACGTAGACTTCAATCTCGCTACCTACAACAGCTTCCTGTTAACAGCGTCTTATCACATCAATGTTGAGGCGACATCCGTAGAACAGCAATTCGTTAAATTCATTTGTTACGCTTCGAGCGCCTTGATAAACGCCGGACTCTCGTTACCTTCGACTACTTTGGAAATCGGCGTTAGATACGATTGGCTATTACCAGATTCCTCTCCAAGTTGCCGAATGTATAATTCGGCTATTTTGATCCACATGGCCTTCTCTGTCCTGCTTGCTCCCGAACCCTGCCAGACCCAAATAGTAGATCCAGTATCCAACAGGAAGACATCATTGCTATCTAGATCAGAGCTGTCTATTGCAGTACCTTCTTTCACTATGTCGAATCTCAGCTGGCCGGAAGCATCTGACAGACGGAACAGCTTGCGAGGGCGGTGATTGGCAGCATCTTGACTCTTAGACGAGATAATAGGTCGCGGTGCCTGAAATGGTCCTTCGACATCTTCTCCGCCTAGCATGGTAACGATAGTTCGCGATCTCGACTCTGCTTGCGCTATCACTTCGACATCAATGTGTTTCGCGATAGTCATATCGTGAACGACTTGGGCGGCCTTAGCCTTCTCCATTGGGCTACAGTTCTTACCCTGCCAGACCCAGATTTTGTCGTTGCACTCCAACACGAAGACGTCGTTTTCGTCAAGGCTCTGCCAGGTAGGCTCAACTTCGTAGATCAGGATCGAGTCAGCGCGTTTGGCAGTTGGGTGCTTGAAGATCCTGAGCAACGTGAGCGTCTCCTTCGGTTCCTCATCGGTCTCGACGTGCGTGAAACCAGAGCGAACACCGCCAGATAGGATTCGGATGCGAGAGAATAGGGCCACGAAGTCGTCGGAAGGCTCTTTCTGGAGCTCACGATGCTGTATGGCCACGCCGTGTAGAAACTCATCGAGTTCGACTGTCTTGTAGGCAGCGGTGCCCGCCTCATCTTGCGTTGTCTTACTTCCGAGCCAGAAGAAGACATCATGGGCTAGCTTTTCCTGACCATTCTTGCTTCCCACCTTGTATGAGTGTAAAACGATGTAGCTGTCTCCCTCGTGAAAGTCCCCGTACTGTTCCCTTGGCCATGGGACCACCTCGAAATCCTCAATTCGCCAGATATAAAGGCCGGGGGCATTTCCGACTTCTTGCCATGCCGGCTCGGTGGCTGCTGAGTTGTACTTGACTTTGTGATCAAGCTCTGTTCCGATGTTCTCGACATTACTGTCTCTCCAATCGTACTCTTTCATATGTACTAATCCTTCGTGCGGTGCCATCTTGTCGATACGATGATGCTAGCTATGGAAGTGTATGGGTATTTAGTTGCACAGAGTAAAAGTAGATGCAAAGAGATAAATAAATGTTAACACGATATACGAATACAAATAGTAAATATTCTAGAGGATGTTGTTGACGTAATGAAGCTGAGCTGGCAATGGGTTGTCTATTGTCTACTTTGAAACAGAATAAGGCGGGGAGCTGAAATAGCTTTATCCTTATTTGTAGTGATACATACCTACATACATAGGTCCATTATGCATCTGTTATGCACTCGGTATGTTGCTTCCCGCCTCTCATAATATCGCATCTAGGTATCACGATTATTGCGGATTGGCTGTGGAATTTAGTAGATTATAGACTACTAAATTTAGAGGTAGACGATTTGTGGAGACCAAACATTTCTAGTTACAGTAATATCAGAAACTTTTCGCCATCCAAAACCTCCGTCTCAAATTTGTCACAGCTACAACAAAACAACTCCCGGACCACAAATTTGCACCGTTACCAACTTCCACTCTCAACCGAATAATCGGCGAAGCGGGAGCAAAAAAAGAAACATGTCGGATAAAAACACCACATCCCAAGAGTTTACCTCCTATTACCTGCAGCAAAGCACCAAGGAGTTCGCAGAGGACCTAGACAAGGTCCGCAACGCCGACGACTTTAAAGGCGATGCGGTAGCCATGCTCGTCAAGTCCCTACAGCAAGGCACGTCTCTATTCTCGGCTGCCGACCAAGAGAGAATACTGAAGGCGCGAAAATCTGGGGAAGACAAATGAATGCGAAGGAGATATTCGGTTTTGAGGAACGAGATTATTTAGGAGGAACACACTATTAACCTAGATGGTGCTTATTTAAATCTAATCGAGTCATGATTGTGTAAAAAGTTGACAGGTCCCTTTTCTACGGAGGGGTGATACGTACCTATGTATATAGTAGGTAATTCACTCGATTAGCAGCAATTAGCAGCAATTAGTAGCAATTCAGCAACCTGCCTTTGCGCCCGTACATGTCGAAAAATACGAAGACTAAAAAGGATGTCAAGAATAAACAAAAATGATCAATTGTAGAAAAAGATCGACACGAGCAGGATTCGAACCTGCGCGTCCTAAGACATGAGATAGACTGGATCACATATTGTAATTCAAGTCTCACCCGTTAGACCACTCCGGCATCGTGCCTTGATTTGTTGTTGAATTGTGGCCCGTTATAGCGCTATAAGTAGGTTTGCTTGCTGCTAATGCGTTAGCCCGGAAAACTTTGCTAGGCCAATCCCAGCCAATCAAGACGTTCTAACCTGATGTACATACATACATAGCCGTAGAGTAAGTGTGATCGAATTCAATTGTTCTTATTAGTCGAGTGTTTGAATTGATTTGCTATAATATGACAACTACTCGGGTACGATGCAAGAATTGTTCTTAATCTAACTTGGCTCTGTAGGAATGGCTAGCTGGAGACGGGATCTGAGACATTAATTAATGATTACTTGAGAACTCGGGTTTCATGGAAACGGGTGAAAACCTGCGATTAGGCTTAGTTATATCTAGTAAGAAGCAATCTTATATGGTGAACTCAAAGATACTTGCATAAATCAACACCAGCTTCAGCTTCTACTACTAAGTATAGAAAGTATTCATAATAATACCTTACCCTAGCCACGAGGCCAATACCCGGCATTGACAAGTTTCTACATACCTAACCTATGCATTACTACTAGAATTCACCAAGAACGACATGGTAACAACAGAAAAAATTACCCCTATAGATATTTATTCGTTCGGGGCCGAAACCATGTCCCTAACTAGGAATTATTGTCGTGTAGTAAGTAATAACGGGAAAGCTAAGAATACTCGCATATATCCAAGAAACTCCGACCATGATTTCGTAAAGAGGGGAGCCAGGAGCATGTCTACTCTACCGACCCCAAAGAAAATTGTCTCGTAAGCGTCATTCATTGCGCTATGAACCCAAAACGTTGTGCGCGATCGAGGCACCACTAACCGACCCCTCCACCCCCCCTCTCTCTACTGCTGATATGAAGACGGATAGGAAGCCCGGTCCTGAGCATCGTCGTGAGATAGTAATAGTAACTATATAGTATAGTGACACTATTATCGTAATAAAACCGAGCCCCTCTGAACTTTTGAATCCCGTATGCGCAATATCATAGCTTAGCTTAGCACACCCCCCCCCCCCCCCCTAGCGTCGAATATCAAGGCTAGCACGAGCAGACTCGATAGACGGGCGCACAGAACTGCTCGAGCTTCTTCGCCTCCTTGCGCGCTGCTCGCTCGGATCCGTGGGATTTAACCCGGTAGATCTTGCAAAAAGGTTGAGAACGTCTGTCAAGGTAACGACACCAATCAGGCGGCCAGACCCCGGTAGGGTGGAAGCTGGAGGAACCGAAGGGAAATTACCGCCGGTAAGAGACGTCTGCGAAGAAGATGGAGTCGGGACGAACACGGTGGGGCCTAGCGACGGGGTTCCTGGTGCGGAAGGAGACGGAGACGCAGACTCCACGATCCACATCCTATGTGAACGGGTAGCGACTAGCTTGGCCACTGTGTGTGCAAGCGTCGAGTAAGGGGTAACATAGAAAACAGGGAATGAATCCTTCCCTTTCTCGACACCTTTCTCGGTCAGGATGACCGATATAAAATGCCTGCATGAATTCTGTAGTAATGGGAGGCTAGTCGCGTTGGTAAGAAGTTTGACATCGGCCGTGGAAATATTGCCGACGACGTTTAGAGCATTGTCAACGACGGCTACACTTGACAGGCCTTCCTGGTTCATAAGATTGAGAGCCTCTGTCAACGGACTATCTGCGCTATGTGGTTGTTAGAAAATAGTTTAGGGTTAGAACTTAGGACTGGTAATGCACGTACTTGACAGCTAGTATTTGCTGAGAGCCGACGCCAACTTCGCGCAAGAGCTTAGGGTACAGATCGTCGATGACGCGGAAGTTAATGCCCTCGTGCCAGAAGAATTCTAAAAGATTCAACTGGCTTAGGATACCGATCACTTCAGCATTGTGATTGCGGACGAGCACCCGGTGTAGACCGCTGCCAAAGATCTCGATCGCCTTGGCCAGATCTTCATCTCCCTGCAGAGTGATGAGAGACTCTTTCCGACAAATCGGCTGGATGTCGCGGAGCGGTATGTTGTCTCTAGCCTGTGCTCTTCTTGCTATGGAATCGTACAATTCTACCAAGTCGTCGCCTGGATGCGCTAATCCGACCACGACCAGGATGTAAGCGTTTAAGTCGTTGTAATCGAATGTGGAGAAGGGAATGGTGCTGGTAGCATTCTCTCGTATGATAACGACGTTGCTTGAGGTATTCTTGAGGAGCGCCTGAATACATACAAGTAGTTAGAGATAAGCTGGATAAATCGATATTGGTGGATCAAGGTTGACTGTACCATTGTGGCATCCTGCACGCTGGTATCCAGTTCTACCCAAGAAACGTCATCTTTCGACACGAGCTCCCCGACTGCAACATCGCGCCAGTCTCTCCCGGCGAAGCGAGGATTCTGCTGCTTCGGAGCTGGCGGGTGGTTGAGTAATTCCTGAAGAGCGGCCTGGGTGAAAGATGGATGTCGCTGATTTCGCGGGGACGGCGGCAAGCCCCTCAAATTCTCTGCGAGACTTGAACGATGACTATGGCCTAGGACATGACCAGATTTTTGCAGGCTCGAAGAGGAACCGGTTCGTTGAGGGGGTGGCGGTGAGATACTCGTTTCCTTAGAATCTTTACGTCCCCTAAAATAGAATGCATTAGGATCCATAGTGAAGTGGTATTATATTAGAGCTGTTGACCGCAGCAGGGTATATTCCTAGGAATATGATGCGGTTATTCGCTTTGTCGCGAAGTCGAGGAGAGTCGGGATGGGATGTCTTGTAGCTTCGAAGCTGTAGCTACAGCAATGTACATATAGTCTAGGTACCTGTCTAGACTCTAAGTAGGTAGCTACCTCTTAGTCTTGGCTTCGTCTATCCTACTTGCTCATATCTTAGACCATCGCTTTTACGGATTTGTTATGGTGCTAATGGTTCTATACGTGTGTGTGTGTATGTGTATGTGTATGTGTGTATAGGTAAGGTTTGTATGCGTACATTTGACATCATTGAGGATATTAGGTAGGTACCTTACATTATATACACTTCTTATGTAATTGATGAGACGAGACCATAAGGTCGTACCTAGGTCCTACCCCAAGGAAGATACAGATACCAATTGTGGATAGCGTAGGTAGGTAGGTAACTACCCCGTGGAATGGCAACCCCTCCTTCACCTTTCTACACCGTCACTCGTCTGTCATTAGCGTCAATCTGCAGCTATTTTATTAATCTTGACAAACCTTAAGTCTTAACTAAAATAAAAACGCCACTGTCGGAGGGGTCGAGTAGGCAAGTGGACCGGTATAAAATACCTAGGTAGGTAGTCTACTGCAGTTCCACAAGGGAACCACAAGCTTGCAATGTTCTAGACGTACATACTATTTTATTTCAACTAATAAGATATAAGAGTGATTAAGAGGTTGTAGGTAATACGTGGCATCGCAAATGGGTAGCGCATTTTCGGAATATAGAAAACTGCAACCAATCGACTGACGATAAACTGTGCTATGCGATACACAGGCCTTAAACATGCCAGACAAACATTCCAGATACTAGTGAGTCTTTATGGCGATGACTCAATGGAATCCATTTATATTCTACCCCATACCTGATTTAAGCAAATTTGGTGAATCGAGATCTTTTAGTTACCTAGATTCCACACAGAGGCAGAAGAGGCAGGGCATTCGGGTCTAAATTAAAAGAGTGATTCAATAATCTTATCAGTAAGTACCCACTAGCAACTATCGATAGGTAGTTGCACGTTCTATCTAATTGAATGATAAGTCTTATCATACATGTAAGAAGGTTGGTTGTGTGCCTGACCTAAACCCAATTCAGCTAAATCACACCAAGTCAAGCAATCAAAAACAGCCAAAAGCTGCTCTTTGAAGTTAGCACAGCTAGACGAAAGCATTTATGCACGGACCATATAGTGCACTCTAGCAGGTCTAGGAATTTATTTTATTTCTTGGTGTTCAAGCAGCGTGCATTGGGGAAAAGAAAAAAAAAAGGTCCATAGCGAAACCTCCCCTCTTTCGCGACCCCTCGCTACTATTGATGCCAAATAAAAAAAACACGACAACGACAACGACAACATCAACATAGACAAACTCTTTTCTACTGCCGAACTATTTAGATCTACTATCAAGACCGCTTGTACGAATCTTGCCGAACCTCACCCCACCCTACCTCGAGTATACAAGAATTTGTTCTATGAACTTCGTTACTACTGTATCTTCGGCGCCCTCTACCTAATCTACGCTCAGAGCCCGTAGTAGGTCACCGCGTCTTAGCCCTGCGGGGCACAACATCTCAAAGCGATACAGCTTTGACAAACTTTGATTTTTACCTCCTATAAAACACCGCGCCTTCTTCTTCTTCTCTCTTCTTCTCTTAGGTAGAATCGTTCGCAAATCGCAAATCGCAAATCCGCAAACCTACCTCGATTATCACAAATCATGTCGGTGCTTCCGGCAGAGACTCATGCAGAGCTAACGCAGCTCCTGCAAGCTCTGCAATCCTCGGACAACACTATACGATCTCAGGCCGAGGGGCATTTGCAAAATACCTGGACCAACACCCGCCCTGAAATTCTGTTGATGGGCCTGGCTGAGCAGATAGCAGCCTCACCTGAAGCATCTGTAAGCAGACTCTTTGATTGTCTTCCACTTGTTACGTTTGAAAGACCAACTAACATAACAATCTATTTGTATAGCTGCGCTCCTTTGCTGCCGTCATATTTCGTCGAATAGCATCAAAGACACGCAAGAACGACAAAGGCGACAATTCTGAGGTATTTATATCATTACCTTTCGAGCAAGCTTCCGTTATCCGCCAGAAGCTCCTTGAAGCCTTAGCCAACGAGAGAGACCGCCTGGTACGGAATAAAATAAGTGACGCTGTTGCCGACGTCGCAAGACAATACTCAGAATCCAGTTAGTCTATTACCGACCTTCTCTTTTTTTTCTTCTTACTTAACGCTCACGATGCGTTCGCGACCACTTTCTGTTCCACCTGCTGTGTTCCCTCTATTCCTAGGAGCAGGAATTGTTAGGCGCTGTAGCGCTAATATTAGACCATTCGCGAGAACGACCGCTAACTTACATGTCCCAGCCGAGCAATGGCCCGAGATTCTAGCCGTTCTCTTCAACCTGAGCGTGGCGACTGACGCAGGTCAACGCGAGACCGCATTCCGTGTCTTTGCGACTACACCAGGTATTATCGAGAAACAGCATGATAATGCAGTATTGGATGCCTTCAACAGAGGATTCAAGGATGATTCTGTTGCAGTCCGCTTGGCTGCTATGGATGCCTTCGCATCCTTCTTCAGAAACCTCCCCAAGAAGGATCAAAACAAAGTATTTTCGTTACTACCCGACGTACTCAACATCCTACCACCTATCAAGGATTCGCATGACTCAGAAGACCTTAGCAAAGCCCTCGTTGCCCTAATCGATTTAGCTGAGACCTCGCCCAAGATGTTTAGGCCCTTATTTCACAACCTCGTCATGTTCAGCGTCGGCGTTATACAGGACAAGGAGTTAAATGATCTCAGCCGACAGAATGCGCTCGAACTTATGGCTACTTTTGCCGATTACGCCCCGTCCATGTGCCGCAAGGATCCCTCTTATACGACCGACATGATCACCCAGTGTTTAAGTCTAATGACAGATATCGGCGAAGACGATGACGATGCTGCCGAATGGTTAGCATCAGACGACTTTGATCAGGAAGAGAGCGATTTGAACCATGTCGCAGGAGAGCAGTGCATGGACCGGCTGGCCAACAAACTCGGAGGCGAAACTATTCTAGCCCCAACGTTCCACTGGCTTCCCAGAATGATGACTTCTATGGCCTGGAAGGATCGTCACGCGGCTCTGATGGCCATCTCGGCTATATCGGAAGGCTGCCGTGACCTTATGGTTAAGGAACTCAGCCATGTTCTTGAGTTGGTTGTTCCTGCGCTGAAGGACCCCCATCCGCGAGTTCGTTGGGCCGGGTGCCAGGCTCTTGGTCAGATGAGCACAGACTTCGCGCCCACGATGCAGAAAGAGTACTATGATACTGTCTTGAAAGCTATCATCCCTGTGCTTGACTCCCCGGAAGGTCGGGTTAAAGCGCATGCCGCTGCCGCATTGGTTAACTTTTGTGAAGAGGCGGAAAAGAGCATCCTTGAACCCTACCTTGACCAATTATTATCCTCACTATTCCAACTTCTCCAGAATGAGAAGCGCTATGTCCAGGAACAAGCACTCTCAACAATTGCCACCATCGCCGATGCCGCCGAAGCTGCCTTTTCCAAGTACTATGACACATTGATGCCTTTGCTCGTTAATGTCCTGCGGCAGGAAACCGAAAAGGAGTACCGGCTACTTCGTGCCAAGGCTATGGAATGTGCCACTTTGATAGCATTGGCCGTCGGAAAGGAACGCCTCGGAAACGATGCTATGGTCTTGGTTGAACTCCTTGCTAATGTTCAAGAACATATCACCGATCCTGACGACCCACAGTCGCAATATCTCATGCACTGCTGGGGACGCATGTGCAGAGTTATGGGCGCCGATTTCTTACGCTTCTTGCCAAATGTCATGCCTCCTTTAGTTGAATTGGCCAGCGCCAAGGCTGACATCCAGCTATTGGATACGGACGACGAGATTGAACAGATTCAGCAAGAAGACGGATGGGAGCTCGTGCCGCTCAAGGGCAAGATGATTGGAATCAGAACTAGTACTATGGATGACAAGCATATGGCCATCGAGCTGCTCGTGGTTTACGCGCAGACCCTCGAGGGTCATTTTGCTCCGTATGTCGCTGACACGATGGAGAAAATCGCGCTTCCGGGTCTCGCATTTTTCTTCCACGATCCCGTTCGATTCATTTCAGCGAAGCTTGTTCCTCAGCTGCTTAGCTCGTACAAGAAGGCATATGGCCCCGAGTCGAATGAACTTCGGGGTCTATGGGCCGGAACCGTTGACAAGCTGCTCGAGGTGCTTACTGCTGAACCGGCTATTGATGCTCTGGCTGAGATGTACCAATGCTTTTACGAGTCGGTCGAAGTAGTCGGCAAGGATTGCCTCAACTTACAACACATGGGCAAGTTTATTGACGGAGTTCACTCGGCTATCGAAGACTATAGGGACCGTGTTTCTAAACGCGAAGAAGATAAGGAAGGAGCTGCTGCTGAGGATGCCGAGGATGAAGCCGAAGAGATCATGATTGCAATCGAGGACGATCAGACCTTGCTGTCTGATATGAACAAGGCGTTCCATTCCATCTTCAAGAATCATGGTTCCGTTTTCCTCCAGCCATGGGAACGTCTCATGGCCACGTACGAGAGCTTCCTTACCTCGGCGGATCCTACGCAGCGCCAGTGGGGTCTATGTATCATGGATGACGTCCTAGAATATTGTGGACCAGAGAGTGTTCGTTATGCTCAAGCTATTAGCACTGCTCTCCTGGAAGGCTGTAAAGACCCCTCGGCTGCTATCCGACAAGCTGCTGCGTAAGTTAAATCCTGCATCTTGAGTTATGGTGCGACCGATGTGATATCGCATTGATAACTACGGGTCTCTTAAAGCCCCTTTTCGATAATCGCTAACATCTCTTTAGGTATGGCATTGGTGTGGCCGCTCATCGTGGTGGGGCTCCTTGGTCTCAGTTCCTGGCAACATCGATACCCTACTTATTTCAAGCAACTCAGATACCGGATGCGCGCGGTGAAGAGGCTGTTTACGCCACTGGTGCGTCACCCTGTTGAATTCATCATGTATTTCGGAAGTCGCTAATGTGTGCACAGAGAATGCTTGCGCGGCTATCGCAAAGATTTTACACTTTAACAAACAGAGTCTACAGGATCCCCAAGCTATCGCAGCACAATGGTATGTATCTGGCACGATCACAAATCAAACACAGCTACTAACCAGTTTGCTATATAGGGTCAATACTTTGCCAGTAACAAACGACGAAGAAGCAGCGCCGTATGCCTACGGCTATCTCGTGGAGTTAATCGAACAGTAAGCCCAAACCCTTAATAGTACACGCGATCTCCATCCCCATACCGTTTCACAAGTGGACAAGCTACTATTTATCTTATATATATACAGTATGTTTAATGGGTCAGAATACTAACCGTTCATGTAGACAAAACCCTGCGGTAACTAGCCAGGTTGACAAGGTGTTTGTCTACGTAGGACAGGCCCTTGAAGCTGAAATGCTCCACGGACCGTTGGGCGCACGCGTGGCCCGAGCAATTCAAATCCTACTTCAGTCGGCAAATGTCGACCCGACGCCACTATTGCAACAAAACTTCTCGCCCGAAGGCCAACAAATCATCAGACGTCACTTCTCCTAG